TGATATTTTATGATACAATTGATATAATATGATATTTTTATGATATAATTGATATAATATGATATTTTTATGATATAATTGATATAATATGATATTCTTCAAAACTATATTAGTTTTTTTGATATATTGTTATTATTCATTTTTAACTATTACATATGAAAATTTAAAATGTTTACTTGACTGTATTTTAGGCATAATGTTTAGTTGTTTGTTTTTTACTGTACTGAATAATGGTGTTGTAAACTATGAAACTGGTACGAACCAAAATTACAAATGAAAAAAAAATAGGTTTGCAAGTCCAATGATTAATTTTATTGTTAAACAAAGAGAGAAAAATGGAAGAACCACGTGCTTACAAGTTTTTTGTGAATAAATCCTCAGTATGGTCAGATCAAACAGGCCCTTTAAATAAATCCTCATTATGTTTAGGTCAAGTAGAACCTTTAAATAAATCTTCAGTATGGTTAGATTAGACAGTTCCTTCAGATAAATAGAACCTTCAAATAAATAACTTAATATACATATTAACCGCTCCTTTAGTTACCCCTTTTCAATGTTAACATTGTTATATTTAAAATTCTAAGGTATGCATCATGATAAAAATGATTTTGCAGATCTAATGACAGCAACAGTGATATAATAAAGAATATAACATAGTTATAATTTTAACAGTAAACACTATAAAAATGTAAAAGCATAAATAATAAAAACCTTAATCAGCCCTGAAAATAATTAAGAACATGATATTTGAGTGTTTGTTGCAATTATTATTTTCTAAAAAATACAAAACTCAAAATCTCTCTTTGATTTTGGCTAACATTATCAAAAGCTATCTTATTTTAATTTGGTTAAACATAATCAAAATCTCCCTTCTTTTAATTTGGTTAAACACTATCGAAAGCTCTCTTATTTTAATTTGGTTAAACACATTCAAAAGCTCTCTTATTTTGATTTGGTTAACCACATTCAAAAGCTATCTTATTTTAATTTGGTTAAACACATTCAAAAGCTCTCTTATTTTGATTTGGTTAACCACAATCAAAATCTCCCTTCTTTTAATTTGGTTAAACACTATCGAAAGCTCTCTTATTTTAATTTGGTTAACCACTATCAAAAGCTCTCTTTTTATAATTTGGCTAACCACATTTAAAAGCTCTTTGTGTGATTGTTGTTAATCGCTGTTAAAATCCCTCTTGTTTGATTTTTTATTAGTTGCTACCCAATTTTCTGTGATTTGATTTTCTTTGTATTGGAATTAAATATATTTCGGAAAAAGTTCTGTATCTCTACTTTATAAAACGTTAAACGTAGATATTAGTCTGTGAGAGCATAATTTGGTGAACTGTTCAGCTTATAGATAGAAAACCCCAAATAGAATTTTAAAATGCAAGATTTATTTAATTGGCTCACTATTCTTTTCTCATATGATCATTGCAGACAAGGTGAAATACAAAAATGTCATACACTGGTTGAAAACCATTTGTAGCATATAGGTTTTCTGAAGCTGGATTGCACCGTCTTATGGTAGTGCATGGGACCATACCTAGACACAGGCACTCTTTGGTCAAGAAGGTAAGGGCTAAACGACTATAGCCCTTCATTCTGTGTTCTGAAAGAGTGTATCCGCATCCATTATAACCATTGATACAAGTCGTCTGCCAGGAGACTAGTTCGTTGGTCTGACGGAGGAAGATCCCAGATGACGGAAGACATTCTACTTGTTCCATCATGTTCTCGTAGCTGTAAGCCCAGTGGAAGCCCCAAGTTTTGTAAATTTCTGTGACGTGATGGAGCTCTAGAGGGGCAAGATACACCTCAACTGGTAATCTGCAAGAAAAAGTTGAAGATCTGAAAGTCTTTGTGCACAATCTGATTTGGTATCGTATTAATCCTAGAAAGGCATTGTATTAGTCCTAGAAAGGCACAGTATTAGTCCTAAAAAGGTTTGTTGTTTGTTTTATAGCAAAGCTATATTAGACTATCTGCCATGTCCATTGTGGGGTATCGAACCCCAGATTTTTGCATTTTAGAAAGGCATCATATTAGTCCTAGAAAACTATCAGTTGTTTATGCATTTGTTTGTTATGAAGCACAAAGCTACAGAATGAGTTATCTGTGCTCTGCCCGCTACGATTATCAAAACCTGAATTTTAGTGTAGTAAGCTGCGAGACTTGCTTCTGAGCTACTGGGGGGGAAGGGGGGCGAAAATTATCATATTACTTTTAGAAAGACATCAAGCATGTCTCAAAAATTAATGGTTATTAAAAATAATAGATCGTTACTTTTGACATATTTAGCAGATGAACAATGTTAATCATACACACTGGCGGATATCTAACTATTCAACATTTAACATATTACTACATTGGTGTTATCAATTAGAAGCTTTTTAAATAAGAAACTTAAAAACTAGAGTAGCAAAGATACTCCTTGTTTAATTCTGGAAAGGTTAAATTTAACACTCGTGTCTCATAAGTCGTCTTATTTATCACTTCTTTGTTATTATAATTCTAAACAGTATTATTCATACTCAGACTTCTTTATTATAATAATTCTAAACAATATAATATATACCCAATCTTCTTTATCATAATAATTTTAAACAGTATTATACATACCCAATCTTCTTTATTATAATAATTCTAAACAATATAATACATACCCAATCTTCTTTATTATAATAATTTTAAACAGTATTATACATACCCAATCTTCTTTATTATAATAATTCTAAATATGATACATACCCAATCTTCTTTATTATAATAATTCTAAACAGTATTATACATACCCAATCTTCTTTATTATAATAATTCTAAACAATATAATACATACCCAATCTTCTTTATTATAATAATTCTAAACAATATAATACATACCCAATCTTCTTTA